CGACATCATGGCTGCTTCAAAAGGAGCCATGGTCTCTCGGGCAGTGGGAACGGCGGGGTCCTTGGAGGATCGGACAAATGACACCTCCTCCCCCTCCTGGGCCCCAGAGGGGGAAAGAGCTTCCTCAGCGAAAGGCGTAGGCAGACGAGACCGCGTTTACCTCTAGTTCAGGTCAAGGCTGAGCTGGAAGAGAAAACTTTGTGCGCAGCACAGGGGTCTGCTCCACGAGCCCCGGGAGTGTGTGGGCACCCCAACCCGTCACAGGAAGGGCTGGGCCAAGCGAACACCCCAGAGGGGCGGCTCTCCAGGTGGGACAGGTGTGCACGGGAATCCCACTGCCTCGGTTGGCTCCTTCCCGAGAGAGAGGACCGCCAGGCCCTTCCCCCACGTGCCAGCCGGACGGTCAGCGCCCCTGGGCCAGGGCCCGGGCAGAAAGGAGTGACATGGCGGAGAGGAGGGTGTGTTCCATGTTCACCTGTGGTGTGAGGAAACACGCCTTATCACGTGTGTAATTCAGGAATGGCGTGGGGAAAGGGAGGGAGGGAGTATTGTCATTCCCGCAGCTGGACTGGACTTTGCCTTATGTTTTTTCTTTCGGCTCAGTTGCCTAATACAGTCTCTCTCTCTCTCTCTCTCCCTCTCTCTCTCTCTCCTTTCTTTTCTTCCTTCCTCCCTTCCTTTTGTTAATCCTCACCCCAAGGATATTTTCCCACTGATTTTTAGAGAAAACAGAGGGAGGGTGAGAGAGAGAGAGAGAGACATGGATGTGAGAGGACACATCTATTGGTTGCCTCCCGCACACGCCCCAACCACCGGGGTGAGAGATCGAGCCTGCAAACCAGGTACGTGCCCTTGACTGGAATTGAACCCAGAACCCTTCAGTCCCCGGGCCGACGCTCTATCCACCGAGCCACACCAGCCAGGTGCAATGCTCCTGTCTGATAAAAAAAAAAACACCCCAAAGACCAGGCTTGTTCCCGGCCGCCTTCTTCTCCGCGGGCAGGTGCCACGTCTCTCGGGCTCACTGTGTCCCTGCGTGACCTCCAGGTGTCCTTGAAGGCCGCCATCCTCGACGGGGACGGTGCCATGTCCTGGCCAACCTGACCCTGAGGATGTGGCCGCCCTGCCGCCCCTCCCGCCTGTCCCCTGCTCCTCCCCACCCCAACCCCTCCCCTGGCACAAAGACCGGCTTGCAGGGCCAGAGCGCGGAGAAAATCGTGCCAGGGTGGGAAATACTAGTTGGAGCTTTTGTCTCCTCACCAAGCCGCCCGCTGCTCTCGGACAGAGGGGCTGCATCGCTGCGCTTTGAGGGGAGCCTGTGAGCGTCAGGTCAGAGTTCCTCCTCCCTGGGCCCAGCTCCTCGCTGGAGGGCCCCCGACAAGCACACGGAATAACCGAGGCTCCCGTCACGCACACGGGACACGGGACACGGGACATGGGACACGGGACACAGGACATGAGACATGGGATACAGGACACGGGACACGGGATACAGGACATGTGACATGGGACATGGTACAGGACAC